GGGGCCCAAGGAGGCCTCTCTATCTAATCTACGCCGGCCTGGCGACGGAGCTGTTCTACGATACTGCCGTGTTGATGCGATTCCACGGCCGCACGACGTCAAACTCACCATTGCTCCGAAAAATCCTCCTCGCAAATGTAATTTCGATGGTATTACTCAGACTTCTTCCAATCATAGCACACAGCATGGCAATGCCGGAAACACGAGCAGACTACCTCGGCGGAATCGCATCTTATTGCATTCATATATGCCGTTTAAGCTTTGTCCAGCTGGGGTCCCTAGGATACATCAACGCCACGGCAGGCAGAAAATCTAGGCTGGCTCCCCCGGATACCGCGGACAACGTATTCGAGAAACCAAGAAGTTGGGTTGGAGGCTTAATACAACGTCCCATGGCCTTGGTTGTCGGTGCCGCCATTGTTGTTACGGCGCTGACCTTGAAAGAGTTGGATTTCGTCAGCTCACCGTCGTAGGCTACCATTGTGTCATGGCTCTGACCCATGCGCCAGTGCTCTCAACCAGCTCGGATCATCAGGGTTTGGGAACAATGTGTCACACACAGCGGGAAGCGAGTTTAATCAAATGCGGTATCTTGAAGTCTGTATATGCATGCCCTTGTCCAGTGGCTACCAGTATGTAGAGAAGGGAAATATGGTACATGAAATGATACACAGCACACACGCTAGTTCTCGCCGCTTATGCGACGGTGGCGCCCGTCAGAGTGAAGGAGTAGTCCAGGCCCTTGTTGGCATCGCTGCTAGCAAGCTGGAAACCGTTGTACTGGATCAGAGTCTTGGGGGTGTTGGCAACGACCAAGCTGGCCTCCTCGCCGCTGGCGATCTCGGCGGAGCCGGCACCGTTGGCGAGCTGCACGTAGCGGACCGAGCTGGAGCCCTTGATGGCGAGGTGGGCGGTGAACTCGCCGGCCGAGGTGATCTTGACGTCGACCTTGCCGCCGGAGGTCGTAAGGGGCATGATGTTGGCACCCATGTAGCGGGGGGCGCGAGCGGACTTGACCTTGTATCCGTCGCCAGACTTGTCAACGTTGGCAAAGTTGACGCTGTCCTTGGCCTGGTTGAAGATCTCCTGGGCCTGGTCGTGGCCGATGTCGACGTAGGCCATGTGAGCCCAGTACTTGCCGACAATCTCGCCGGCGGTGGTGTTGCTGGCGACGCGGTTGAGGGTGTGGAGGGGCGTCTCGTTGCTGTTCGCCTCGTATTGGACCATCATCTGATGAAGCGTGTCCTTGCCGAGGCCGGCAATGTTGTCCGGGTTGTTGGTGAGGTAGGTCAGGAACGGCCAGGCCTGGTAGTAGTTTCCAGAGTCAACGGTGCCGTCAACAATGACCTGGAAAGAGTCGCCAAGGACCTTGTTGACCTCGAACTCGGTGCGGCCCTCGGGGGACTTGTGCTTGGTGCGGGCGTCGGCGCAGAGGGGCGAGGTGTTGTAGGTGTCGGCAACCCAGTTGGCGACCGTCTCCCACCAGGCACCGGTTCGCTCCTGGTCGACCCAGGTGCGCTGGTGGTAGTGCAGGGCGTGGCCGTACTCGTGGACGGTGACGCCTGGAGTGGCAAGGTAGGTGTCGACGACCTCGAGCCAGCCGGCGCCGGACTCGTACTCTGAGTGCATCACGCCAGCGGCGTTGTCGAGCTTGGAGACGGAGTAGATGTTGGTCTTGTAGTAAGGGCCGTTGTCGGAGCCCTCGTTGAACGAGAGGCCAGAGGACCGCCAGCCGAGGGTGTTGACGAAGCACTCGTATGCGCCCTCGAGCATGGCGAGGGAATCATCGGCGGAGCTGCCGCCGGCGTAGACGCGGAAGTGGGCCGAGTCCTTGAAGTCACTGCCACCGGGGCCGGCCTTGGTCTGGGCCTCGAATTCGGCGGGCTCAGCACGCGCGACTACCTTGGGGGCGCCTGCCTGAGGAGCCGCATGGATGCCGGTGGTGAGGGCGAGGAAGATTGTGAAGAGAAGTTGGTTTGACCTGGCCATCTTGGGCAACCTGTTGTATGTGTACGTTGAAGAAAAGAGCGAATGAACGAATGAACAAATGAGCGAACGGAGAAAGACAGAGGCTTTCTTGCAAAGAATGAAATCGAGATGGATGAGAACTTGATCGGAGACTACTCCTTCTACAGTCCAAGCGATCGAGGGGCGCCATCTTTTGTAAGTAGAAGCGCCAACTTCGCCAAGACTCTCTGGTAAGGATGATTTCCTCTTTGAGCCAAGACGTATGATGCAAAGCAGGCAAACATACACACACGGTGACCTGGTGATCTACGGATACAGCCCGGCCTGGTCACAGTCCAGTGGTCCACAGGGCGAAATCCTTTACTGCGTGCGGACAATTTGCAGTTGGTGTTGAGAGGCGTAACGCGCTGGCCCTTGTTAGTTGAGACTGGGCCCGTCCATGGGGGCTCGATGGAGTGTTTCTGAGAAAGTGTTGGCAATTTGCGATGAAACGGTGGGCAGAATACACCAATCAGCAACGATGCGTATTGGCCCCTCGCTGGCCTTATTCGTGTTGTTCCCTGCATCGATCACCTCGAAAAGAATACCCTAGTCTTTACTCTAGACCCGGTAGGTACAGATTGAGTAGGAATCTCATGATTGATGGATTTCAAGATTGTCAAATGGACCGAATCTGTTCCCAGTCAGGCGTCCTCGCTGCTGTAAGATTACAGTAAGTGAGCTACCATAAGTCACATCTACTTGTCCAAGGGAACATGGAGAAGAAAAGTCTCATCCGAACTCCCAAGTAGGGGGCGCATACACCAATGACTTCGATATTGGATCTCCCCGTCAAATCCTCCACTTCAAAATGACGCTGATCTCGTTCTCTCCGAATGTCAAGGTGCCCCCTCCCAAGGACATCTACAAGCAGACGATGGCTTCATCCCACTCAACAGAAGGACCCGTACTCCGTAACGTGCCACTCGCTAAATGCTGACAGAATATGCCTTAGTCAAAAGATCACACACGGACCCCATTATTCTCTGACACGCTTCCCTGCTGCCCTTCATCATGATTGGCGGCAATATACCCGCAAGTGATTTAAAGTGATTTAAAGTACTCGGAAACTTCCCCTGAGGCTTTATGGTTAGTTTACACAACACTCCCGACTTCTTGGGTAATGGTATCCATAACAAAGGCGACTATTTCCCCATTTTCTGCCTGGCCCTTTCGCTATCGCATCGCAATACGATCGACCGTTTGTGACACGGCACCACCCAGCGCCCCTGAGCGCATCTGTGACTTTGATCTGCTGTTTTAGTCATATTTCAGTGGTGCTCGATGCTACAGTAGCAGCAACTCAAGCAGACTTCAATCGAAAGTAGGAGGAAGCCTTTCCAGCCAACCACGAAAAACTTTGACTGAGGACAAAGAGTTCATCAATTGATGTCAGACTTGCGAAATCTTCAAGAGCAAAAGGGCTACTGGATCTAGAATGGCGACTGATCACGAACACTGTAGGTAGTGATGCCAACTTGAACTTCATCGAGTCATGTCAGCCAACAGAGCCCCTCCAATGTGGGCTAGATTTGCCACGGGTTGTGGGAGAGGATCTTCACCAAAGGAACTTTGTTAAAGTGTTCTCCTTCTCAATTTCTTTGCACTCAACTGGAAAAGAGAAGTCGGCGAAGAATGCTGTGCCTTCTAATGAGACCGCATATTGATTCACGTAAGAAGCTAAAGACTCAGTCAAAATGCTTGCTTACTATCGAGGGTTGCTGAGACTCAAAGATTGCCAAGTCGGCAGGAACGGTGCGACGCAACTTGAATGGCCCCAACTCTCGGTCCTTATATCTATTGTGCCAAGGCTTGTATGTAAATGACTTTAAATTGGCAAGACTGTAAGTTGGTATCTCAGTTCTACTTTGCTGGAGCAAACATCTAGAACTCAGGTTTCTCGGCAATCAGGTGCCAAACTTAGACAATAGTACTAGGGACTTTCAGACAGACCAAACATGCAACTTCGATGAAGTTTCATCATTACCAGAATCTGCTTCCCAATTGCTTGATTGTGACGCATTCTTAAGATCCTGAATGAAGCTTATGTCAACGAACATTAGGCCTGATGAATTCACAATCTGTCGGGGCGAAAGGCCTCAATAAAAGAATAACCACAGACGCCTAGTATCTCTTCGATATCCTGCGTCAACATGTTGTTGTATTGTGCTCTTTTATCCACCTGGACTTGACTCAGACCTCTCGTTCCCAAGATGCGCGAGTTAAAGGGGCGGCAGAACTTGATCTTCGCCTCATTTCCAAAATATGGTCCCTAAATGCGGTCTGATCCTTCGGCATCCCGCAATATCGTACCTCATGTCGCTATTATTTTCGCTTTGCGTTTGATTAAACAACCTTTGAAGTGCGTGCATTATTTACTTCTGTCCTCCCAATACAGATCAACGCTGGTTATAGACATCTCAGCACCCCAATGGACCAAGAGTTCGAGAAAGCTTCGGAATTTGATTCTAAATTCTCTCCAGAAAACAGAGATGGAGAGAATGAAAGGACATGTGAGATCTTTCTCTTATTTCAGCAGGGCGATGTGCTAAAGCACTGCATTATCACCTCATCGAGTCTGTCAGATGGAGGCTGGAGTTACCGCCGTGCTTTTTTTTGAGATGTTTTTATTACCAGACGGCTGTATTCCGCCGCAAAGATTCCAAGATAGCGATAGACTTGATTACTCAAGTATTTGATCGAGACATCAACAACCAAAGTCATTCGGCATTGTTTCTGGCCTTAGTTGCAAGCAGACTATGACATCGCTAGCACGAGTTAGCGCCGAGAAAGAGTTGGGTGTACATAGCACTACATGGCCGCTTCGTCGATATTCCGCGGTGTACAGCAAATGGATATTTCGGACAAGTTCACGATGATCGGAGAGCCAGCAAATAATATCATGCTGGTAAGCAAAGATTCGGGGCGAAATGCTTCAAGTTTGCTTCGGTGATACCAGTTGATGTCGTTGATATATTCTATCACAACAAAGTTTATGGATTAGTGAGCGTGAAGGCGACATCACCCGTGCTTGCGCCTCCTTTGCAGGTTGACTTAAAACTGCCACTCGGGCATGTTGCTCTCGCTGCCCGAATGCATCCTTCCCAGCGGCCTTTAGATACATTGATCGTGGCTCCAGAAGCGGTCGGATTCAGGGTGAACTTCGCGGTTCCTGATACGCCCGTAGTACTCTTTGGGGCGCCGCCGCATTTCTGGATGGACCCTGCTATGCCGCCGCAGATAGCCAGTGTAGCGACGTTCATGTCGTGGGTATCAATCTTGCTACAATAATTCCTTAGCTCGACGGCTTCCTGCGCATCTTGGGTATGGATGTAGACTTACGCGTTCTTGTCTGTGCACGTAGTGCCAGTGACGGCTGCCGGATTGACATCCTTCGACGCACGGATTTCTAGGATGTTGTCATTCGATTGCGGAAGTATGGGGCTTGGCACCGCGGCAGAAAACCCGGAGAAGAGCAACAGAGCTGAGGCGATGTTGGCGATTAACATTTTGGCGTTGACGAAGAGGTAGGTGCAATAAAGTTACTGAGTATAGTAAAAATAAAGTTTCATCTACTTGGGCCTGCCAAGACAAACTAGAACTGGAAGATATGGTGAACGAAGGCCTCGAGAACAGCAAACCGTAAGGTGTTGAATCTAGATGCAACGCCAGAAGGCCAAGACGGGTAATTTGTACGAGGGCAGAGTCAATGACTCTGTAGGGGCACTATCGCAGATTTGCGGCTGTGATGTGAGCTAGTTGTTCCAGCAGGGATGAACTTCAGACGACAATGGTTTCGGTCTTTTTGCTTAGAGATCTGATGAACTCTGTTCACACATGGCAATGATAGTTGGGATAGAAAAACCAAATTACATCAAACAGCACCCAGCGCAGCAGTACACTGCTCTAGTTAACATTGCTCCATAAACAGCGCATGCTCAAATATTGCCAGGTCTAGAGCAGCCTGAATAGCTGGTCTAAAAGCATCGGGTGCGCCGTTTTCTTCTTGTGTGTTGATGTCTCTAGTTAGATCATGTTGCCGTTTCAACTTTTGCCGATGTTTCGCACCATCCTTGCCATCCCACGTTCGGACCGGACGGCAACTCGGCGTGATCCGAAAGTGACCGGCTTGCACCTGCAATGACCAACAAGACAAGATAAGCGACAGACTTTGCGTTTCTATGATCTATTACACGCTTTCAGAATGGTCTAGCCAAATACACCATCATTCTTCGGCTCAAATTCCACATGTGGGCGATTGATGGCTGATTCGGGAAATTCTGCAGGGTCACTGCTCAGGATGCCCTCCATGATCGGCGCAGACATGCCCAGCTAAGAATCACAAAGTTGTCAGTCTGGTCACCAAAATGAAAACTTGTGTAAGGGTAGGTTCAAGCTACTTACCGCGAAATATCTAAGCTTCACGGCATGAATCATAGTTGCGGCTTTCGCGGTTACCTCGAATCGTAGAACACTCCATCCCAGAGGAGGGAGGTCATGGACTGTGACAAGAGCCGGGTCCTTGAGGTTGAGGGGCTTAGACAGGTGGCTACGACCTACAAGAGCCTCTTTCACGCTCTTGTGCGAGAACCTCGCGTTCGGCTGCGCGCCAAGCAACCAGGCAGGATCGGCATGCTTGTAGAGTGGTACCGTGTCGTTCAGGTTGTTCTCAATGATGAGATCAACAACGGAGCCAATTGGGATACCTTCGATAATGGGCTTGCCCAGAGATCCGAGAGAACCAGACTCGTTGGCTGCCTGAAATAGAAGAGGCATCAAAGACGAGCGGAATAACTGCCAAGGCTTCTCGTTGAGATAGAACTCTGGCACATGAGCCTCCGTGGGCGAAGTTTGAGATCCGGCAGCGAGATGGAACGTGAAGTCTGCTCTCTCTAGATGCAAACCCTTGGCCGAAGGAGGTGGCGTGGCAGGATAAGGCGGTAGAAATTGGCCATCGACAGTTGTGCAGCCCTGGTTTGTAGAACCATCAGGCAAAACACAGATGTCGTCCACTGAACCTGGCTGGGGAACCTTCATCGGCTGGCCGTAGATGGGTCTGCGGCTACCCTACCACGTCCGCTGTGTCAGCTTTTATTCTTGATCATGAGAATGGTAGACATACCGGGTATCTCAAGATCGAGTAGGCCTGCAGGTTCTGCATCTGGCTTGTGGACGAGATGCGCATGGCGTAGTCTCCAGGTTCCGCGTTTAGTCTCACCAGAACGGTAAGCCTTCCAGCGCTGGGCACGTAGACAGACTATCAGGTGTTGTAAGTTCTGTGTCAAAGGATGGCAAAGGTTAAATGGGATGACTTACATCGGCTTCTTCGGGAACAACGAAGCCACCATTATTCGCAACTACAGTCAGCTTGTGATTGTCAATGGAGACCATGACGGAGTGCTCGAAACCAATGTTGATCAGGTTCAACATCATGTATTCTCTGCTTTCCGTCTCAAGAACCTAGCGTTGTGATCAGCATCATTCATAGCTGACGCTCCATCACAGTCAGACATCACAAACCTCATAGTCCGCCTCACTTGGTGTGCATGATTCTTCCGGGAGACCAGGTGGTTGGATGCAGCCTGTCTCATCCAAGCGATGTCCGTTCAATTGTTCGTATCCCGGTTGACGGCAATGTACACGGCCCTTTCCTACAAGACACAGCCCAAGTCAGTGGTGGAAAGCTCTGCTGGGGGTGGACTTGCTTACCATTGACGAGGATCGAATCATAGCAATAGAACTCCGACCCTTCAGCCCGCATGCGGAGCATTTTCCAGCCTGTGTCCCGGTGTTGGTGATTCTTGATAGCGAGATGTCGGACTTGCTTCTCGGCCTCCATGATTTTTCGCAGCTCGATGTCATTTTTCGTGATGAGACGGTAGGGACGAGGTCGAGATGGGCTTGGCGCCACATACACCATACCATACAAGCCCTTGCGTTCGAAGTCAGACTGGTGTATTTTGGCAGTTGTGAAGAAAGTTCGTACTGGAAAGAAAAGGAGAAGGTAAAGAGGAAATAATAAAAGATGGAGACTTCAAGCATACGAAAGCAACAAGTATTTGACATAAGGTAGGAGAAGGAAGAGGCCTACATCAGCAGACGCAGCAGTTGTGTGCTCAGCGTACCAGTTGAGACCCCACGAGCCAGTCGTGTCAATCACGCTTGTGAAGTTGCCGCGAGGGAGAATAGGGTACTGTCACATCAGTGTAAGCTTTGCATATTTGAGCCGCTAGGTGTTGTCGAACCTGCGATATCCCAGCGGTACCGTCATTCCAGCTTCCAGTTCTATGATCGACCGAGTTAGTGTTCTACCTTATTCAGTTTGAACTACATTGCTGGGTTTGCTTTCACACTTACGCCTTGTGTCCAATGCCGGACCTTTGAAGATGGGTCAATATGGAAGCAGAAAGTAAAGTAAAACTTGGGGAGATCCTGACCAGTGAATGGAAGACTGAGCATAGACATCGCTCTTGACTGTCAATGCGACAAGATCGCCTTCTTCAGCGTACAGCGTGGGGCAAGGCGTTTGTCCGTTGCAAACGAACATGACTCTCCATCGACCGCCATCTAATTCCATGTCAGTTACTTCCACAGGGCTGATCGTACGCCTGGCTCAAACCTGGGTTCATCCATCTCACTCCAGACTGGAGCGTGTACTCTCTCATGAGTCTGTCTTGTCCACTGGGGTTGTGGCGGCCCCAGCTACCGAGCAACCCCGTGAGCGGGTACCCATTCCTCCACAGCCCAGTAAGGGCGAGGAGCAATAGCGTGGACAGGCCAGAGATCCAAACATTTCGATTGTAACGGTTCCCCGACTTCTCTCGAGAAACGCCGAGTTGTGTTTGGTCAAGTAAATGCTGTTTTGATTCCATTTCCGCGCTGAGCTTGAAAATTTCTAAGCCGGGGGAATCGGGGAAAGACGAAAGAAATTTGGATTGGGCAGCTCGACAATAACAACCACGGGGGCTGTGGCGACTGCGGACTTAGGACATGACATCTCCTGGGGTCCTTCCCGTCCTGAGTCAGATTCATAATTCGGTAGTCGGATTTCTGACTACTAATCGCCCCTTTGAAGACGCTAGGTCTCCCCGTTGTCCTTCGGACCGTGAGTTGCAACGTTGTAGCTTTTCCAAAGGTTGTGACAAAGGGGCACGACCCTGTTTCGTAGAGCATTGCGTTGATCATGATTCGGCACTTTGAGGTCTGCCAGGGGTTTGCAACCGATCTGTATGGAGCCTCACGATAATTGGGACATTCGGCCGAGCGTAGAGGCCTCGAAGAACGGGGCAGATATTCTGTTTGAACTCTAAAGTGATACTCCGCCTGCACTCCGTAAACTCCAACCGATGGGAAGCATGTCGAACAGGTTTCCTTAGTGTTAGGTTGCGGGAAAGCGGGTTGATACCCCTGACTCGGTAAACTCTAACGGTTGCATCGGATGGTTGTAGGGGTACCTGGACAACAGGAGTCCGACCCGGGAAGAACGCCGTAAAAGAGGACAAGTTGGTCACCGTAAAGAGGAGTGTTGGGTAGTCTTTCGAGTGATTTCCTCTGCTTCTCTTCGCACCAGGAAGACAGTCATGGCAGCTCTTACGAAGTGTGCAATCTTGTCTTTGCTCGCCGGTGTGAGCCTGACAGCTCAGACGAGGCGGTATAATTTTACCATTACAAACAAATGGGATGTTGGGGACGGACATGGCCGGCCTGTCTTTGCTATCAACAATGAGACACCAGGGCCCCTCATCGAAGCGGAGGAAGGCGACGAAGTTGAGGTGTTCTTGGACAACCAGCTCGCCTTTGAAACGACCATGCATTGGTATGTATTCCCCAGCCAATCCACAATTGTGGCCTCTCATCCTACCTGGACTTACACACAACCAGGCATGGCATCTACCAAATCGACCGGCCCTGGAATGATGGAGTCCCTGGCGTGACACAGTACTCCATCCAACCTCGAGATACCTACACGTACCGCTTCACAGTTCAGCAACAGTATGGAAGCTATTTCTATCATGGCCATTTCGGACCTGCGTTTGCCGATGGCATGCGAGGGCCGATATGGATTGCACCTGCAGCATGGAGACCAAGACCTTACGAGCTGATATCATCCTCGCCAAGGGACATTGAGGGCATGAAGCGAGCTGAGGAGCATCCCAAGCACGTCATCATCAGTGACTGGAATGCCGAGCCCATGGACATCTTGCTGATTATGTACCGGGATACTGGTATCGTTCCATGGTGCAGCAACTCAATCGTTCTCAACGGCAAGGGAAGGACGGTGTGCCATCCAAGGGAACTGCTTGATTCTGTGGGTGGCCCAGGAAGAAACTCTCTTGGCTGTCTACCTCAAAATGGTCAGAAGGAATTTGCAAACGAACAGACTTGCCAGCCGACCTTTGCTGATCTAGAGATCTTCGAAGCTAACAGCGGCGAAGAATGGATCTGGATCAACTTCATTCATTCTGGAGCGCACCACGAGCTACAAATCAGCGTGGATGAGCATGAGTTC